TCTCACCAAAATAAGTACGCATTTTGCAATATAAATACTAATATTTATGTTACATAATATGCCATATTTTTATAGTAAAATTATTTGGATGTACAAATGTTGATACTATTTTTAAAAATCTAATCAAATTAAAAATTAATTGAGTCATCGGAACGCGAGATGTGCATTTATTTTGAGACGGAAAGAGTAGTTGTGTTTGTTGAGTGCACTCGCCGGTCATAAAAATATATCGTTTATGACAAGATTTAGTTAAATCTTATCTTAAAAACTAAATATAAATAACTTTTATATCGGTAATGCTGGAAGCGGGCGTCCATCTGCCCGACGCCGCTCGCCCCACTCCGCTCCACGCACTTCAGTGCTTCGTGGCTTCTAAAAACAACGCTTGCCTTCTCCATCGCAGGGGCTGCCCGCCATGGCCTTCTCCAGCATAGTGGCGTCACACCCGGCCCCTTCTCGGGTTGCTTTGAGCCCGCGCCGCGCTCCCATCCACCTTGCCATTCGCGGAAGGGGAGGCAGGGGAGGCATGCGACTGCACCTGAGCTTCGCCCCTATCCACCTCGCACTGTCAGCGGGAAGGGGAGGCCTGCGCCACCGCAGTTCCCCACTAGGTAGGGCGTGCCCGCCGGCGAAGCTGTGTTCAAGTGTTTCAGAAGTTTCCAGACATGTTGTAAGCCTATGTTTCAGTTGTTTCAGATGTATGTTCCAAGTGTTTTATATGAATGTTGCAAAAGGAGATCGTGGGATGTTGCATATATTGCAATGATTGTATACTTATGTTGCAAGTATCTGTTCCCAATGTTTTATTTATTTTTCAGACGTATGTTGTAAGTGTGTTTATCTGGATGCTGCATATTTTTCACACATATGTTGCAAGTATTTTATCTGGATGTTGCGTATGGTTGCAATGGTTTTCAAATATTTTGCAGGTGTTTTTGCAAGTGTTTCAGACGCATGTTTCAAGTGTTTTGTCTATCTTCTTTTGTATGTTGCAAGTGTTGCATCTGAATGTTTCAAAAGTAGATAAGGGGTGTTGCACATGAAATACACGTGGGAAGTGGGAGGGGGCGCAAGCAATCCCCGCACGAGGTCTGGTGGCATGGGCCCACTGTTGGAGGCTTGCTTGCAAGTCTGACGCTGCTGGATGCTCGCTCGCTGCGCAGGCACAGTCTGACGCTAGTGTCCCGGATCGAATGGTTGGACACTAGCCAGTCCACTTTTATATTATTGGCGTTGCAAGCATAGAATTATGCATGAATGTATATTCCAAAAATTATAAAATGACATAAGTTGAAAGGATTTTAAGAAAATATTGTAGAAGGAATTAGTGCAGAAACCAGGTAAAATTAAGTGTGGCAGATACTTTTTTAGTCAAAGTGAGCATGCCTCACAAAACTCTGTCAGTCAGTCAGTCTGATAAACACCGCCAGCTCCCGGATGCAAACGCGTGGCTCCAGCAGACTCATGCTAACTAACATTTCCATAAATCCAATTGCCGAATCAACGAGCACGTACATATGGTTTAACATCACCGATACTTTTTTTTTGCCAAATAACATCACCGATACTTGGAAATATATGGTGCAAACATGCAAACTATTTTTTAAAAAAATGTATTTTGGTCACTCAACAAAAATTAAAACTTCGTACATCCATACTGCATCCATATATGTACTCACATGTAAAAGTGGAGATGAAAACTCAAACTAGAAAACTTCATACGAAAATGACAAATTTCATATTCATGTACACTATAAGAAAAAATTCCTAGTTTTTTTTTGTCATGTAGTGCAAATATATATGAAATTTGTTATTTTCATATTTTTTTCTCTTGTGAATCTATAACAATGCCTTTCATGAAGCTAGAATTAATTTCTATATAACATGTCATTTTTTCCCTCTCCATGTTTCATTTTACATGCGCGCTGAGCTGCCCTCTGTTCCGCTCTTTGTTGAAAACAATAAACACCTTAGGCTAGATGGGCTTGATCAGCAAATTGAGCATAGCTTAGAAGGTTAGATTTCTTGTTCTACAATCTATTTATTCAGATTTAAGTTCTGGATTTGATGTGGGTGCTTGAATTTATCTAGATTTATTCTAGAATTTGACGATTACTTCGTCAATCTCAAAATCTACTTACTCAACTTTGCCTTTCAAAGGTTCGTAAGGATAGAGAGTGTGTAGTCATGCACGCATTGTACAATAGCCCCTGGTCCACAGTGCATTAGTAGAAAAAAAATACTACGTGTATGCGATTGTAACTTGTTTGAGATCTATCAGCTGAATTTTATCTTTCGGAGGATCATAGAGGTAGAGTGCGTGCACTATTGCACCTTGTACAATAACCCATATAGTGTATTATTTATTTTATTGGAAAAATATATAAGGAATATAAATAGTATGCGTCTTGTATGTGCGACTGCAACTAGATATGTTGCCGAGCGCTGTTCTTTTTCTTTTCTTTTTAGGGGAGATGCCGAGCGCTGGTGAGCTGATCTCAATCAATTCTGGTGCATCATGGGCTCGTGGCCCATTAGATGCTCAAATCACTTTGATTTTCCACATTTTCTGACCCACTAATGAAACGCACTTGCAAATCAGGTGGCCCGTACCACGTTACAATGCTATTGTCAAGTCTGATCCGATTTTTTTTGTTTCTCTTTTTTTTTTTTCTGGTATCATCTGGGACAAAATCTTGCACTCAGGAGTCCACACCACTTACAAAAATTTACTTTAGGTAATATGGATATTATCTTGCTGATAATAAATATGTAAGATTGCGTGGATACGAATCTATCGCGAAAACCTGATATACCGTTTATGACATATAAGCATTTGAAATTCATGAAACCATACCCTTTTTTTCATACCGGCATGCACAGGTATTTGAAATGCACTACTGTTTTGGAATATGATTCCTTGCATGCGTCCTCGATCCTAAAATGCAAGGTATCAAAAGTTTAAAAATTATCTTAAATTATAAAGGCTCTTCGTCCAAAAATACAATATATCGAAAGTTTAAAATTTATCACGAATCATAAGGTATCTTATGTTGTTCAACTCTGTCTACATATATTTGTCTTTTGAACTCCATCTATGCATGCTTTTTAAACACCACCTTGCTCCAAATAACTTATGTAATTAATATCTGAAAAATCAATGACATTGCACGCCTACCTTTTCAAACTGTTTATTACTAATAAATTTAGCAAGTTAACAACATAATTGACTAATTAGTTAGGAGCAAATTATGTTAGTCTTTTGTTAGTCTCTTTATTTAGAGTCTATTTGATACCAGAGCTAATTGCTAGCTAGCTAAAAAATAGCTAAAATTAGCCCTAGTGTATCTAAACAGAAGAGCTAATAGATGTTCTAATTTTTTTAGCCAAATCTTCAACTAGCTGTTAGCCAAATAACTAGCTAACCTTAACAAGTTTGAGTTAATTTTTAACCTAACTAGTACTAACTAGTCCTATATCTTATTACCTTAATCCTAAAATTGTTTGAATGTTTTGTATTTTATTAGGACAGATGGAGTATTAAGGTGTGTACTCCTACCATGGATAGCCTCGTAACCATGTGTCGGTATTTCGAACAGCCGACTAGTAAATTTATACATTATGCGTCTGATCCGGATGGTGTGCTAAGAGGACACGAGGATTATGCTGATTCGGGCCGAATGTCCCTACATCCAGTTTTAGGCTGCTCGTGTTACCAGCACTGAGTTTGTAGTAGGCGGTTACAAATTGGCAAGAGAGGGAGGAGCTCCCAAGTCTCTGTGGTTTGATTGCTCGATGCTTCTACTGCTCGATCTATCGATCGATGTCTCTCTCTCTGAACGGTACCCTGCCTTCCCTTTTATAGACCAAGGGAAGAGAACAGGATACCAGAGACCGAGAGAAGGGAAGAGGGGAAAAAGAAAGGAAAAAATAAGGCTCCCAGAGGTGTGCCATCCTCCTCTTCGCGTGGGTCCCATTGACCCTATAGATCGTGGTGGCAGCGGCGTCGCACCGGGGTCTTGTTGGCCGCTGCAGCATACGTGCGGGCGTCATGCGCCGTTCTTGTCTTCCATCACATCCGAGCGGACGGAATGGTCAAAGGGTCCCTTGACAGAGGTCATATGGGGGGCTCGTGGTACAGTGCCAGTCAACTGACCCCTGTCGACTGACATTGGATGGTGGTCAGGTAGAGAGTTGGCAGCACAATGCTGGCCTGTTGACGCGATGGGTGACGTGAGCCTCCCAGCATGGCTTGATGCGACCGCCAGTCGCATCAGGACGTGGCTGAGACGTCCTCCCGGGTGTGCGCCTCCACGCCGTAATGATTGAAGCGGTTCGGGTCCCACCCTGGGATCAATGCTTTTGTTCGGCAGCAAATCCGACCCCCAGGGAACGGGCGAGGCGGAAATCCCGCCCTGGGTTCGCGCGAGACGGAATCCAACCCTCGGGGGTCGGACGAGGCGGAGCCCTTCCCGTGGGACCGGACGAGTTGAAGCCCGCACCCTGAGGTCGGAGGAGTCGGAGCCCACGCCTTGGGGTCAGACAAGACGGAAACCTCGTCCTCGAAGTCGGAGCCCACGCATTGGGGTCGGATGAGGCGGAAACCTCGTCCTCGGAGTTAGAAGAGGCGTGGCCCGGCCCCTGAGGGTCGGACGAGGCCGCAATTACGTTCTTAATCATCGGATGAGCCGACGTGACATGGTTCGGTTAGCCGGATATAGATATCCGACACCATGCATGCCCAAATCTAATAGCACGCGTGTGCATGTCCTGTTGTCCCAAATAAAAACCTTCCGTCGTGGAGGAACTCGCGGCTTCGCGGTTCTCGCAGCAGCTCCCCACCGAGTGCGTCCGCCTCTCTCTCTCTCTCTCTCTCTCTCTCTCCTCTCTCTCTCTCTCTCATCAGAATTGGGCGGGATCCGAGCCGGCCGCGCCGCTCGCATTGCTCGATCGAGAAAAAAAAACATTCAGGGAGGCAGGTAGGTCGAGAGCGGAGGAGAATGCAGCAGCAGATGGCGGCGACGGTGGAGGAGCAGATGATGGTGAAGGCCATCAGGGAGGAGTCGCCGTGGGAAGCCCTCCCCAAGCGCATCCAGGCAGCGCTCGTGTCCAAGGAGGAATGGAACCGCAGGTACGTGCCTGCGTCAGATCAAACCCCGAGAATCAATTTATCCATCCTGAATGATCCTGCATGCTAGAAAAAAAAAAACTAACCCCAGTATAACAATTCATCGAATTTGGGCTTTCATTCCATGAATTGGTGTCCATTTTAGGCTTATTCATTATTTTTTAGGTAGGGTCATGAGGGTGGCAAGAGTTGTGTTTGTCTATTCTGAAGCCAACAGAAAATATTCGTTACTGCTAGTTGCCGTGTTAAAAATACGAAGAAAATTAGAAGTATCATATGCGTGCTTGGAAATGTAATGGTTTTACATAAAAAGAGCAAAAAGACATCAGACACGGTGAAAATATAAATAAACATAGTTAATATATATACCATACAGTCTCATGAATACCAAATTTGTTGGAGAACATAGTTCAAATACAAAACTCAAAGTCATCATCCCTATTGTATAATGAGCAACCTTTTGATTTCACAGCGTCTCATTTGGTTGCCACATGTTTAATATCCTGGTTTATTATACAAACATTGCCACAGGATTGTGGATTATTGTATACGTAAAAGGTTGCCTTGGAGCTCCTGTTTTGCCCGAAAAGTATGCAAAGAAGGGGACTATTATGAGGACCTGATGCGCTATCTCCGCAAAAACCTTGCAGTATGTTGTCCATATTTTCCTTCCTCCTTAATTACTCAACAATTTTATGATATCTTGCAGAGAAAAGAAAAAGCTGTATCCTGTTTTGCTGACATCTTGTTTAGAAGCTAGCTCTACCAGTAACTGACAAACTTATACTGAAATAGCAGAGTCCCTAGCCAGGCTTCAGAAAGGATCATAAACGAAAAACGATTTTATTCTACTTGATTCCATACTTCTTTCTTCAAAATGCTAAATACTATGACTTAAGGTTGCTCATGTAACACGATTCTTTTATTAATATTCTTAGGCTTGGATATTTTTGTAAAACATTTATATCATGACTGCCTTGGAACAATATTTTTGCAGTTATATCCATACCATCTTGCAGTCTTTATATGCCGAGTAATGAGGATATCACCCTTCAGATATTACTGTGATGTCCTTTTCGAAGCTATGAAGAATGGTAACCAATTGTTATATAAAACATTTTTGCCATCGCATTCCACTTGATTAGTTCACCTGTCATCATGCCTAAAACGTTAATTAATAAGTTATTTCAATATTTTCCACCATGAAAAAGTAACAAAGGAATGATATAACTCGCAAATATCGTTTCTTCAAGAACCTACATAATCTTTGCACCTGCTAATAAGTTTTATTTCTTGTATATGTCCTATTGTAATTGATTTCTGCTCATGAAAAGTCTGATTAGGCTTGATAATATGTACTTTTCACTTTTAAAACATTTATATGATGGAGATTATTGTGCACCCATTCTTTGATCTAACGTATTAATACTCAGTTCCAAATTTTAGCTCACTTTAGCTTTGTTGTAAGCAAAATTTCTTAACTTCGACTAAGTTTTTTTTAAATATATTAACATGTACAAGTTCAAATAAATGCACTATGGGACATATTTCATGGAGAATTTAAGGAAACTAGTTTCATGTTGTAGATGTAGGTGTATATAAATTTGAACAAAGTTAGATAAGTTTGACTCAGAATAATTAAAGTGGTCTATAATTTGCAAACAATAGTTTTTTTTGTTCTGACTTGGTTTATAATATTGGCAGAGCAACCATACGACAGTATTCCAAACTTCAGTGCTGCAGATGCTCTTAGGATTACTGGTGTAAGAAGAAACGAATTTATTGATATCATGAATAAGTGCAGATCAAAGGTATTTATCAACTGTACCATGGCCTTTCATTAACATTGTTGTTGCCATTGGAATGCATGTGTAGTATTGCTGTGATGTAGGAAAGGACACACTTAGGTTATTGTTTCCTGAATGGAAGTAAAGAAAGCATAATGAAAACAACCCTTTTCATGTTTTCTCCTGTTACAAAAATAACCTTTCCATTTTTGGATATTTCAGAAGATAATGTGGAAACTGAACAAATCAATTGCGAAAGAGTTGTTGCCAGCAGAACCTGCCGATTTAGCAATAGAGCCATGGTGGGGCGTTCGATTTGTCAACTTCACATTGGAAGAATTTAAGGTTAGATCCATCTATGTTGTTTTTTATTTTTGTTGAGTAAGGACATTGCAATTTGACAGGGAAAAAATACAATGCTGCCATTTCTATCATGTAAAGTATGCATTGTTTGTTCTCAATGGAAGATAATAATACATGAATACCTTGCACTAGTGGGAACTGATGCGCTACTGTACTGTAGAAGCTTTCAGAAGATGAGACATCAGCAATAGACAAAATATGTAAGGAGGAAGTCAATTCATATGTTCTATTTGACCCGGAGGTTGTACGGGGCCTTTACAAGAGAGGGATGGTATACTTCGATGTCCTGTTTATCCTGATGATCGTTTTAGAGGTATGCAGCTTCAACAAGCTTTGTCATTGTATAATTCTACGTTAGCCCACAGGATCATCGGCTCAGGTGAGTTGACCACTCATTAGTCTTGCCGACCACGGCCGAGGCTGTCCGACCACACACACTATGACTCGAGGTAGAAGAAGAGGGAGAACAAAAAATACACACACAGTATAAGCACCAGCGTTAGCCGGAGCCCTGTGTAGGAGATGGCAAAACTGAACTCTCTTTGTTGAGTTGCAGTGGTAAGCTATTTATACAACTCTATCCATCTAGTCCTAGTACAGCTCCCATGCTGCAGCAGTGACTAGATAACACAGTAGGATTGACTTCTACGCCTGTCCCTACATGTGGCTACAGTGCGGCAGGTGAGCCGTTTGGCGCCTGCCTCTACAGTGGCTACAGTACCACAACAGGGACCTTTTTGGCGTCGCCTTCCCTTATTGTGTGTTCACATAAGGAAGCAGTAGATTATCTAACAATTTTTCCCCTAATCCTACTGCTATCCCTTGTACCCCTCCATGTCGACCATCTCCTCCAGCTCCGTGAGTCGAAGTCGTCCGAGCGGCTTGGTGAGGACGTCCGCGAGTTGCCGGCCAGTTTCGACGAACTCGATGACGAACTCGATGACTTTACGTCGATGTGTTTGCTTCAGTCGTGCAGAACCGGATTCTTCGTGAGGGCGATGGCGGGCTGGTTGTCCACCATCAGTGCTGGTGGGTGAGCTTCCGCACCGGTCAGCTCGCCCAACAGCCAGTGCAGCCACACAACTTGGCACGCCGCTGTGGCCGCCGCTACGTACTCTGCCTCGCACGTAGATAGCGCCACCACTTCTGTTTCAGCAACAGCCATAAAATTAGAGCCGACTCGAGGAAGACGAGCACTCCAGAGGTGCTCCGTCGTCCGTCGATGTCCCCTGCCATGTCTGCATCGCTGAACACAGTGAGCTGCAGCCTACTCATGCCAGTCTTTGGGAAGATGATCCCCTAATCTACTGTCCCCTTGACGTAGTGCAGTAGCCGCTTCACCGCAGCCTAGTGATCCTCTCTGGGATCCTCTATGAACCGACTGACGTAGCCCACGGTGAACGCAGTGTCCGGCCTCGTGTGGACTAGATAGCACAGACCGCCGACAATGCTCCGGTAGAGTGTTGCATCCATCTTCACCGCGGTACTGGCCTTCGTCAGCTTCAGCCCCTCCTCCATCGGAGTCACGCATGGCTTGCACTCAGCCATGCTGCTCCTCTCCAACAGCTTCGAGACATACGCGCTCGACCGAGCGTGAGTTCCTCCTTCCCCTGTCTCACCTTGATGCCGAGGTAGTAGGAGAGTGCGTCGAGATCTCTCATTCGAATACGAGCCGCGATCTCGCGCTTGAAGCCATTGATGTCCTCCGTGCGCGCGCCGATGACGATCAAGTCATCCACATACACGCCGACGACGAGCTCCTCCTTTCCCCGTCATCGCGTGTAGAGCGCGTGCTCGGTTGCGCACCGCTGAAACCCAAGCTTGCCCAGCGTGGCGTCAAGCTTGGTGTTACATGCTCGTGGGGCCTGCCACAGCCCGTAGAGCGCCTTGCGCAGTCGGAGCACCCTGTGCTCCTCTCCCTTGACGGCGAAACCTGGAGGTTGCCTGACGAAGACCGTCTCCGCCAGCTCGCCGTTGAGGAAGGCCGATTTAACATCCAAGTGATGGACGCGCCAGTCATTTGCTGCTGCCAAGGCTAGTAGCAAATGGACAGACTCCATGTGCGCTACTGGCGCAAAGACTTTCTCGAAGTCTATGCCCTCATGCTGAACAAAGCCTCGGGCGATGAGGCGTGCCTTGTGTTTGACAATGGCGCCGAGCTCATCCCGCTTGATCTTGTACACCCACTTCAGGCTGATCGGATGGCATCCTGGAGGTGGATCGATGAGCTGCCATGTCTCATTTTCCTCGATCGTCTTCATCTCCTCCAGCATCGCCCGTCGCCAGTTTCCATCGCGCTCGGCCAGCACGAACATGGGTGGTTCCTCTGTACTGACGAGCAGCCGACTAGCCAGTCCTGAGGGCCTTGTGCCGTCGACAATGTTGTCCAGCCTATGGAACCGCACCTCCTCACCTTCGTGGAAGGCATCCACGAACTTAGTGATGTCACTTGGAGATGAGGCGAACTCAATCAGTGTTGATGGAGTTCCCTGTTCCGCTAGAGTGCTCGGCACAGCACCTGGAATGCTCGGCACCCCGGTTGCAGTGCTCGGCGCTACTTCTGGACAGCTCGTCATTACTCCTGCAGTGCTCGGCACCACTGTAGGAGTGCTTGGCCTCAGTCTTGGAGTGGTCGGAACCACTACAGGATCTCTTGGCTCCTCTACGGGAGTGCTCGGCACCCATCTTGGAGTGGTCACCACCGCTGCAGAACCTCCCGACATCACTCCTAGCGTGCTCGGCATCCCTCTAGGAGTGCTCGGCACTCCTCCCTGAGTGGTCGGCATCCCTCCCGAAGTGCTCGGCACCGCCCCAGGAGTGCTCAGCTCTGTCGTTGGAGTGCTCGGCACTCCTCCCGGAGTGCTCGGCACCTCTTCCCCAGCGTCTCCACCACCGTGGATGAACAGGTGCTCAACGACGAAGGTGCTGGTGAAGCCGCCAGCTTCCCCCGTGCTCGGACTGCTCTAGTCCCAAGCTACCTTCTCGTCGAACACGACGTCGCGCGAGACAAGCACCTTGTCTCCACGTGGGTCGTAGAGCTAGTACACCTTGGTACCCTCCGCGTAGCCCAGGAACACCATGGGTGTGCTCCTATCCTCCAGCTTGGTGAGGCTCGACTTCATCTTCCTAACGTGGCCGATGCAGCCGAATATCCGGAGGAAGGACACGCTCGGCTTGCACCCATACCAAGCTTCGAATGGCGTCTTGCCCGTCTGGGCCTTGGTCGGAGTGCGGTTGAGGATGAATACCGTCGTGGTCAGTGGTCACCGCCTCACCCCAGAACCTTGCCGGCATTCCTTTGGCCTTCATCATGGATTGAGCCATGCCGACCACTGTCTGGTTCCGCCTCTCCACCACGCCATTCTGTTGTGGTGAGTACGGCGCGGTGTGGTGTCGCACCACACCCTGATCCGCGTAGTACGCAGCGAACTCCACCGAAGTGAATTCGCCGCCACGATCAATCCTCAGCACGCGTAGCTTCTTGCTGCTCTCGGCCTCCGCGCGCATCTTGAATTTCTTGATCACCGCCGCCGCTTCGTCCTTTCTCGTCAGGAGTTGCAGCCACATGTAGCGACTGCAATCATCCACGAGCAGGAGGAAGTATCGCCGACCACCGTTTGTAGCTGGCGTGATCGGCCCACAGAGGTCGACGTGGACGAGCTCGAGAGCGTCCTTCGCGCGATACTTGGTCGCCTTTGGGAATGATAGCCTCCTCTGCTTCCTGGCCAGGCAGCTGTCACATAGCTCGCCTCCGTGCTTGATGTGGGGTAGCCCTCAAACCATCTTCTCCCGTCGACCAAGCGCGTCGAAGCTGAGATGTCCAAACCGGGCATGCCACATCCACGGTTCCTTGGTGTGCCTTGCCGCCAGGCACACCGCTGCTCTACCTTCAGGTCAAGCAGGTATAACCGGTTCAGGGACTTCTTCACCTTGGCAAGAAGTCGCTGCTCCCAGTCCCTGATCCTAAGGACTCTGTCCTTGATCAGTACCTCGCTACCATGCTCATCCAGCTGACCAATGCTGATGATGCTGGAACACAGCTGCGGGATGTAATATACATCTGTTAGCGCGCGGTGCTCCCCGTTCTGGCACCTGAAGATGATGGTGCCGCGCCCTTGGATTTCCACCCATGAGCCGTCACCAAACTTCACCGTACCGGTAACATCGTCGTCGAGCTCAGAGAAGGATGCCTTGAAAGGACCTAGGATGCCACCTAGAGGGGGGTGAATAGGCGTTTCTGAAAATTAACACCTTTAAATATGGAAACAATTAGAAAAGGCAGTTTTCAAAATAGAAACTCCAAATTAAGAATAATACCACCCCTCACAAGTTAGCCACAAAGTAAACAAAGTATAAAGAATATATCTAGAAGCTACAACCCTGCAACACAAAGTTAGAACAGAGAATAAATATTTTTAGTACTGAGCTCTAATACCGGACGTGTCCGGTATACACGATTTCTGCAGATCAGCCCTGAACTTTCTTCTTTCGATTTCTATCTTCAAACCAAACTGCAGGCACCTACTAGAGATGACAATATACACAGAGAGACTGCACAAAAGCTGGAGCAATACAAATATCAAATGAAATACAAATTAAGACGCGATATTTGTTTTACCGAAGTTTGGACTCATTCGAGTCCTACTCTCCATTGAGGGGGCTGCGGGCGACCCAGCGAAGGTCAACCCTAGAGGATACCACGAAGGTCACTCTAGCCGGAGTCTTTTCCAACTCCTTTTCCTCCTTCCACTAGTTGATTCTGAGGCGGCGGAATCGACCGTTACAAACTTTCCGAGGCACACCACAATCTCTCGGGTGCTCTCCGGCGACGCCTAACCGTCTAGGACCGAAGAGTCCAAGAGTAACAAATGCGAATCACGAGATTGACAATATGCACAAGTGCTCAAGTGGTGGTTAGCTCTCTTTTTGAATTTCACTCAACCCACAATTTGATTTGGCAAATTTGATCAATCACTCACTAAGAGAGGGTTGGGAGAGTTGGCAAAGCTCAAAAACGTGCTAGAGGATCAGCAGAATTAGTAGCCTCCAAAGGTGAAGGCTTGGGAGTATTTATAGCCCCTTTAGAAAAACTAGCCGTTTTATAGCCGTGTCCGGTATGCCAGCATACCGGACACGTCCGGTATGACTTATACTGCCCCAACGGTAACTAAGTTACAGTGACAATGTGAGGCGTCGTAACTCCTGATGAATGCCGGAATTCTCGACCCTCAGCATATTTGAAAACCATGTAACTGATTTAAAGTATGTGAGGTGTCGGAACTCCCGACTCATGCCGAAACTTCCGACCGTCGG